CTGGTGGTTTTTAGACATGATAAGAACTAGGCCGTTGGTTATTTACTGTCTTTTTCAACGGAAAATTTGTTATAAAAGTTGGAGACTTTAAGAAGACAGAACATTCATTCTTTTGACTCTTAAAGATTTGTTAAAATGTTTTTGACTTGCTTTGTTGTAAGAAATTTTCGTTAATGATCTAGTCAAAGAGAATGAATTTCGAATTTCTGTCATAACGAATTAACGATATTTACGAAAGAATAGGGAAGTTGTTTTTTTTTCTTCTAGCTCTATATATTTTGTAATTTTAGATTGTTTTTTCATTAAAGAAATTCTAGATTTTTTTTTTTTTTGATACATATCCTCGTTTAGCTCTTTAATTAGCTTTGGGTTTGATATGATTTATACAACACGGATAAGATCAAACATCCGGCTAACCTTTTCACATCCGACTATATATATATATACTATAGTTAACCACATTGTTAACATGAATATTCAATGTATTTAACACTAGATATATAGATCAATATACATTGTGTATTTTTTGGGAATGAATATCGATTAAAACCACACAAAAATGTTCCCAAATAAACGTGTATAGGTTGACACCCTTGTTAGATAAATTTAGTTGAGCAGATTTTTTTTGTTATGGCGGTGTAAAACTTCATGAAATTCTGTTTCTTGCAAGTGCAAGTTACATTTATATTTTTTCTTATCTTAATGCCCTCTTAATATTCTATACCAAATAAAAGGAAAAAAATAGATAAGGGTTAGGCTAGAAATAAAACCATTATCCTATTTGAAAACTCTTGGGATTTCCATTTGTAGCCGAATAGTATCACTAAAGATTTGATTCCACAAAGTGTTGATGATATTACGGTTTCACAATGCGTAAATCATCAAAAAACGACAAGCATGCTTGTTTTTTATTTATATGTAACGGCTATGATCATACCAATAGGAAGAAAATATTGAGATATTGTTGAGCACGTGCACTTGACCTCACAAGTCACAACCAATTTATACACATATGTAGTCAAGCAAGCATACATACGTAGACGATATCTAAACTACCACAACTTCCATCTCTATTCATCAATATATACACAATGAATTAATAATCTCTCTCTTCCCTCTGGATTCTTGATCTTAAACATGGTTATCCACTTGATCTTTCTCCTCACGCAAACCCTAATCCTAATAGTTCTCTCTATTCCCTCTCTCATCAACACTTCCCAATTGGATTACGATACTCTAGTTTTCAAACAATGTGATTTGACAGACACAAACATCCTCCAAAAAACAACAAAATATCGAAATTACTTGAATCAGAGTCTCCTTATTCGCGCACAAGCCGTTTCTTCTTTCTTACGCAAACTCGAATCCGAATCCTCTCGATCTAAATTCTATAAGACTCTTGTTGGTAACGAAGAACACGCCGTCTCGGGATGGTTCCAATGCAGAGAAGATTATCCGAGTGAGATCTGCCATAGATGTGTTGGTGATCTTCGTGAGATTTCGTCTAGATTATGTGGGAATGCCACGTCAGCTCGTGTTCATCTCCGAGGATGTCACTTGAAATACGAAATCGAACTTGTTGGCACCCCTAGTGCTCGTAAGTATTTAATAATTGCAGTATATAGAAAAAGACCAATATTTTTATTTTCTACGTTTTTCTTTAATTATTTGGTCTTCTATTTGAATGGAAGTATGCCTATAATTGTTCATAAAATAGTGAAAAGAATTTTTTTGGTTGGATCATCTCTTATATAGTTTGTCTTTAACATCTTTTATATATATAATCATATAGTCATTTTTTTCTTTAAAAAAGAAGAAATAGACTTTTACCAAATTCTTTTCGAGTGATTATTATTTTGTTTTCCAATACGATTCTCTTCTTGTTTTCATTTTTGGTAGAAGCTAATAATCATCATAACTACAAGTTATTTGAAACACCGGAACATGGTCTTATCCACAAGATATGCGAAGGAGCTACGGCGGAGATATTCGCCGGATTCGAAGAGATGAGGACGGAGGCACTCACCGCAGCCGAAACAGGAGTAGTTGACGGCCACGGATTCTATGAAGATAGCTACAAGCTCCTCCACGTTGTTGCTCAATGCGACGGCCACGTTAAAGCTTGCGATTGCGGCGAGTGCATTAGTGCTGCCGCGGCCGCAGCGGCGGAAGAGTGTCGGTGGTCCATCGCCGGTCAAATTTACTTGGAAGGGTGCTACGTCGGATATACATATTACCCGCATGAAATCCCCGACGAGTCATACCACGGTACGTACGTTATGTTTATACACATGGAAATATGTGTAAAATACATGATTATACATTTTTTGGTATGATATTTATTTACAAGTTGGTAACGTATTTGTTTTGGCAGAAGAAGGGACAAAGGCTAACACGGGGAAGTCGTTGGCGATAGTTGTCGGAGTAGTAGCGGCTTTGGTCTTTGTTGGTATAATTTTCATGTTCCTCAAGAGCTTGCGTAGAAAAGGAGATGGTAAGTTAATTAAGTTCGATTTTATTTTATTATATTTGTTCAATTTATAATATCAAAAGTTTACTTATGTATGTTTACTGGATTCTATTGCAGATTGTTGAAGAGATCAAGGTCTTGGAGAGAAGTTGGGAAAATAATTTTGGTCATTGTATTCGTTAAACCAACCAAAGAAAATTTCCTTCTTATGATTTTCCTAACAACGAAAGTCGAAAGATATTAAATTCGATTGGGAAAATAACAAAAGTGATAGGTTTTAAATTTTAATCATATGTTAATGTTTGTATATAATATAATCACACTGTTTGCTGTAAAGGTTACAATTGTCACCATAATTTTCATTTTTGTTTTAAAATATGACCGTCGCAAATGTTATAATGATTTTTGGGTTTGAAAGAGACAATAAAGCCCATAACTTCTCTACTTTGCGTTATTTAAAATGGGCCCAAGTAAAAAAAAAAAAAACAGAAATATTAATGATATCTCTTTGTATCTGAAAATATTTAACAAACGACGGAAAAAAGAAAAAAAGAATACTTGCATCAATTTTAGGGCATTTATCACTTTCC